TGAACCAGACTCTCCTCTAGAGGTGAGGGGCAATAGCTAAGTCTTGTTTTTGTGAAATGAAATTGCAATAAGTAGTTGTTTGCTGTTTCGCCGAACAAAAGTGCAGCCGGTTCATTTCAGCACCACAGTGTGGACAGCACCTCTCTTCCCACTTTCCTCTGAACGTATAATTATAAGTTCTAACGTCTGTTAATAATACTACTAATGATAATCACAATAATTCCATTTTCTCAGTATTATTGTGAACTATTGTCATTATTATTATTATTATTAGTAGTAGTAGTAGTAGTAGTAGGATTAGTAACACATTTAACATTTAAGACATTTAACATTATTTGACAAGTTTAAGTTTTTAAATATTTGCAAATGCAGTTCACCCTGCAGAATTAGGTCAATGTTCTTCTTGTTCTTGTTCTTGTTCTTGTTCTTCTTCTTCTTCTTCTTCTTCCTATTATTATTATATAATGATATAATGTTCCATACATCAGTGTTTATCCCCTTTGCTCTTATTACTAGCTTCATTATTTACTTCCAGCCCTTTCGGTGTTCACATTTTGGACTCTAAGTGACGCTGTTGAACAAGAATATAATGTCTATCCATAGTCTCTCTTCTGTTGTGCAGGGTTGTTCTTTTTAAGATCACATTGAGCTAGGCTCGGAGGGAACAGCAGGAAGCTTATAAATCTCGGCAAATAACGTGTTATTTTTTAGTCTAGCGTCCTCGCTCGTGTTTTCTAATATATACAAAGCACATCTGGAAGAGTGGATGATATTGAATTCAAGTTGGAGGATCTTCGTTCTTTTTTTCTTCGGAAAATGCCCCTTTCTGACATGGCGTATCAGCAACCATTCAGCAAATGGCGTTTACATTTCGGACCTCAGCGGGTGATGCTTCTTTTGTTGTTTTACTTCTTTAATGTTGTCGCTGGTCAGATCCGCTACTCTATCCCAGAGGAAATGAAGAAGGGCTCTCTTATCGGTAATGTAGCACAGGATCTTGGTTTGGATCTGAAAAGGCTCCGTTCTGGCCGGGCCCGTATCGTGACCGGAGAAAACATCCAGTACACGGAGCTGAAGACAGACAAAGGGATTCTCGTCGTGAATGAGAGAATAGACCGAGAGCAGCTTTGTGGAGACGTAACGCCGTGTAGTTTCAGCTTTGAGGTGATTTTAGAAAACCCGATGGAGCTACACCACATAACAATTGAGGTGTTAGATGTAAATGATCATCCTCCGGTGTTCAAGAAATCGGATATTATGTTAGACATAAGCGAGTCAGCTAATCTTGGGGCGCGATTTGTGCTGGACAGTGCAGAGGATCCTGATGTTGGCGTCAATGGCTTACAGAATTATGTTTTAACCTCAAACGACAATTTCGTTTTAAAGCAGCATGTAAATCCAGACGGGAGTAAATATGCAGAGATGGTGCTTCAGAAGCAATTAGACAGAGAGGAGGTTCCCCATCTTTCTTTAAAGCTTATAGC